GAAATAGATTAGGAGATGTTTTAGGAGGAAGCTTTAGGTTTTTTTTTTTAATTTTTAGTATTTTGGTGATATACCCAAATTGCCCATAGGGATCTGTTTAAATAACATAACACCACATCGAACCCCTTCCCCAAAGTCGATGGTTGCAGGAATCAAATATATGTCTCTGCTTGGACAGATTTGATTTGAATTGTTGAAAGGAATTATAACATGGCCTAATAAGATAGGCTAAACCCCTAGTGATATGGCTTAACGAAAGGGCTGGGAAGGGGAAACAATAAATAGTCTTTATGAAGGCTTTTTAATTATCCCATAAATAGTCAATCACGAATAAAATAATATTATTAAAAAAACAATAAAGTTAAAAACCAAAATGATACATAGGTGAAACTGCCCATTGTGTTAATACGAGTCATTCATTAGTAATTCTATAGCAGTCGATATTTAAGTTTATTACGTAATATCATAATGGTTGCTACTTAATATTTTTGGTGTGCATACAAACATACACCATATCTAGGCATCCTTCATATATCATAAAAGGTTATTTTGAACAATCAATTGATCGACTTGAAATCAGAGTCGAATCGGATAATCAAATATATGAATATTCATAATTGAATCCATTAAAAGACTAAGGTTGTGTTTGATACCACTGCCATTTCTAATGTTTTAGGTTGGTCAATACAATTTCTTAAGAGATTGTCTTTTCGCATCACACCAGATAGCCACTTCAACTAAAGAAAATATAGTCATGGGATTGAACGTTGAGACATTTATAGTAGAAACACGAAATTCGATATTTTTCTTAAGAAACAATAATGGTATCAAATGTTGTATTGATAATTCAAAGCATTTGTCACAGAAAAAACATCTTATAAAATTTGTATTGACCAACATAAAATGTTACAAGTAGAAGTGACAATGGTACCAAATACAATTGAAAATATCCATCAAATTTGTATATGCCCTTACCCAAGAATGAAGCTCAAATAAAACTAGTTTCACTAACACAAAAAACCATAATTTGTTCAACTCAAAATAAATTAATCCAAAAAACATGACATGGATACAATAACTTCAAAACACAAATGGAAAAGGAACAAAAACAAATTACATAACCAAACAATAATACAAACTAGATACGACTAGGAGAGCAACTTGCGCAGCCCAACCTGAGCCCAAACCAACCAAGCCCAAAATTTTACATAGGTTGGGCTTGAATTTCCAGTCCTTGGGCTGGCTCGATTCCAAGAATTTGGATTTTTCTATTTTCTAGGTTGGTCTCGGGCCTATCCCTTAGGTAGCCAAAAACCGGCTAAAGCCCAACCCAACTATACAATTTATACATATAGATCTATTTATGTAAATTTTTGCATACATATTTACCTATATGTATTGATATCCGTATACGTATTTACATATATATACACACGTATACGTATATTTACATAAATGCATACACACATATAGAGAGGGTTCATGACCAACCCGAGCCCAGCCCTGCCCTGAGCCTAACCCGAGTGCATCAAATAACAATGTAGGATGGGCTCGGGTTGGGAAGATCAAGCTTGACGTCGGGCTCAGTCCAGTCTCAGGTCTTAAGCTTAAATATTAGGGTTGGGCCAACTTGCACCCCTAGAAAGGACCTCTTAGATTCACGCACAAACTCTTAAACCACCACTCCATCTCAGAAAAAGATGAACTTTGTGTAATGTTCAGTTATGAGCTGTGTAATCTTCAAAAAAAGAATATAACATTTTCAAGATCATTATGCAGCTTGAGGCTGACACTCTGATCAAACGATGATGACGTAGACAATGAAGATGTAGATGCTGATGAAGTTGAATACTGCAATGCTTCGTAGTTTCTTCGACCACCACTCCATCTCAGAAAAAGATGAACTTTGTGTAATGTTCAGCTATGAGCTGTGTAATCTTCAGCAAAAGAACATAACATTTTCAAGATCATTATGCAGCTTGAGGCTGACACTCTGATCAAACGATGATGATGTAGACAATGAAGATGGAGATGCTGATGAAGCTGAATACTGCAATGCTTCATAGTATTGTCGCCCCCTGTATGCAACAAGATCAGCATAGTACACTGGTGGCACCAAGGAAACTGGTTTGGTACATCGAGCAAAAGTGAAGCAGAGGTTATATATGACACTCTGCAAATCATCAGAAGTAAATCGATGTTCATCCCATAGGACATGATAATGTGTTGGCTTGCTAGTTCCAAGGCTTCCATAGTGGCTGCAAAGATAGAAATCAAACTCCCATGGATGCACAATGGTGGTATCAACAACCGTCCCTGGGTGTACATTTCCAGTGGGTCCCCCTTGGTTCCTGTCCTTGGGAAAGAGACGGGTTTGGTGTCGCTTCTGTGCCACGACTAGTGTGATAGTAGGGGAATACCCATCTGACTCAATAGCACTCTTAAGGTCAGTTAACTCATCATTAAGAACCATGTCAAACTGACTCTCACTAACTCCGTCCCGAAACACAATAATTTTCTCTGGCTTCACTTTGTTAATCCTAGCATAAGCTTCAAGRAGCTCCAAACACATCTGCCCAAAATGTTTTATACYCTCAACCCGGTGGTCCTGCAGGCGGATTCTTGCAGCATAYTTATTCGCAGCAGGCCAGTTCATGGTGGCAACAACAGCTGCAATGGATGGACTAGATGTATTAAAGGCAGCAGGATGATTGACATCAGCCCCAATAAACATGACATGACCATYACCCTCAAGGCGARGAAGCTTTTCAAAGAGTTCAACATTGCTACCACCAAGCTTGGCATTTATCTTGAGGGCAAGATTTGCAAGGTACTGGTCTAATCCTTTATCTTTATTAGCATTTTTGGAGAGACAGCATTGAGTCATAATTCCAATCTCAGTCTCACATATCCGCTTCAGGTTATTATACCCTGCATCCTTCTCGGACATTGCACATATGAGAATCTGCAATTGACCACCAGAAATCTCTWTAGCACGGGAGCAAATTGAACTTRGGTGTTTACTGARCTGCTTGCTGTTGCGAAGTTCACACATCTCAGATGGCTCATAGAAGAGAGGCTCCTTCATTTCAATGTGGAGTTTTCTGCATCGAATGACCAGTTTTCTTGCAAACTGAATGTAATTTAATTTCACATTCCTATCAGCGAAATCAATGATTGCCCATCGTTCAACTCGCTTCCCTTCCAAAACACATTTGCCAATAAGGTTCCATTGGCAGTCACCGCTAACTGTGACTCTGCTAGCCTCACCATTCACATTGCCAAGTTTCAAACTGGGTGGCTGGATAACATGTCCAGTGACTTCAGTCATGTGCTCACTAACAGCAATCTCGAAATTTTGTGCAATTCCTCCCCTGATAAGAATGGTTAGGAAGTAAATGAGATACAAACAAAAATTTTCACTATTTTGACAAGCTTTTTTGCAGTCATTTTTTAGAAAAGAAATATTGCATGGCACTCTGCCTACAGCTTTCTAATTTCCAGCTGTACTGTAACTGTTAATAATTTCCTTGTATACTTGATCAAAATAGAAATATGAATAGAGGTTACACTACACAAGCACTTATAGTAAGCATACTGTGAACAAAATAGGAAGGGAACAAATGTTTTGGGCTGTATTGTAATTTTCATTTCTGTTATTATCGGGAGAGTAGAGCCTCTTTACCTATTCCTGGAAATGTTGTAATTAACTTTTCTTTTAATAAATTGATTTATGTTATTGATAAAAAAATCATTTTATGGATCATAAAAATTAAACAAACCACTACTTTATCATAACTCACATCCATTAAAACGGTGTAGGGCTCCTAAGGACATGGTGGCTACAGGGAAATCAAAAGGTTTTCAGTAGTTGAAATTGCGAACATATCATCATCATAATAATTAATAAGAAACATCTAAATAGTAGCTTTCCATACCCGCATGGTCCATCATCTGCTTTAACCATCGTGCATATACAATCCTTTCTTACCGATGGTTTCGCCAAAGCAAACCTATTGAAATTGGACTGTACATCCCCAGCCAACATATCCAATCTGTCTTTAGGGTACCTTTGTCCCTCCACCAAAACACAGAACTCCATAGGTACATAGTTCATCTTCCCACCCTTGCTCAAATCTAAGCAAGGAAGATACCTGTGCTCAATCACTTTATTATATTTGTCCTTGAAATATTCCACAAGTCCAACCTCTCTTTCTTGATTCTCAATTGGGAAACTCAGATTGTTTGTAACAGAGCTCGTAAGCCCCCGAATTATGTACTTTCGCTTTGTTGTCCTGTGAATCACTGTCACTTTCAACCCTTTCAAGGCCTTTTCAATWTTTTTCGTCACCCAATGAGGAACAGGACCATAATTAAGCTTAAAGTTGGGAATGTGGTCTCGAAGAAATTGTAGTACAGGAACCTTCTTCAGAAGTGCCAGAACTGAGTAGTCAGAGCATAGGGCTAGACCCTGAGAAGTGAGCTTCAGGCTATGTTGAAACTCTCTGGAAGCAATGAGGAGACCAATATTATCACTATTATTGGAGGAAAAGCTTCGACCTATTTGGATACGATGTCTAGTCGGGTTCTCTTTCATGACCAAATCCATACCTTGTAWGATCTCACGAGGGATAGATGACAGTGTACCTCTTAAGTAGTTCTCCAACTTTTGAAGTGGTAACTCCTTCACAAGGTTTATAGTAAACATGAATGCACAAGAACCTTGTCCCTCCTCCATGGACATCTCCACTTCAAATTCCCCAGCAGGCAGTTTTACTGCACTGAAAATGCTTTTCTCCCCGTCATATGCAGTTTTAGCCATAGGAAAGTTTTTGGGGAGATCAGAAAATAACTTATTCCTGATCATGTGCATAAGAGACTTTGTTATCCGCAAAGATCGGCCTTGCTTGGGTGTCACTTCTGGTTTAATGTCAACATCATAGTGGAATATGATTAGATTAGGATTGTACTTGATAGGAAAATGATTAACTAGAAGCTGTGAAAACTGAGTAGCCCATTTCCCGCCGTTGTCAGGTCGTTTTACTGGAACTCTTTCCCCAACCCTAGATGCAGGAGATGGTGTCAATGCTAGAGATATATCCAGTGATGTTAGCTCTGCGACTTGAGGGTCTGTAAATACC